TCGGTTTTCCACAAAGACGCAGCAGAGGGCTGTGTCCTTAATAAATCTAGCAGATTTACACAGCCCTGTGTATCCAACGCTGAACCATAGACTCGTTCACGCCGAGTTTACGTGCAGCGCCTCTATTTCCCTCCTGTACTGCCAGATCGATACTCCTCAACTTAGAAGCTGCATCATATGAGTTTGAAAACATTTCTCCGTCGTGACTGCTGCTAGCATGTGCTTGTTCTAAATGAAAATTAGCATGTTCTTTGATTTCCAATTTTGACTTCTAATGATTCACTTCCTGCTAAAGCGCCCCCTGGTGGTTGAGGAAAAAACCCACAGAAAAACCGCGTGGTTCAAAGCGTGGGGGAAAAAGTAGCAGCTTATAGACCGAAAAATACAGTATTAGCATAGTGAAGACAAAACAGATATTGACTCATATTTCTTTTGGTAATAATAAGAAGCCGTTCAGTGATTTATAAACTAACAGCAGTATTTATCCCTGAGCTACATGGAGCCAGTGTAAGGACTTTAGATCTGGGGTGATGTTCTGTACCTTCCTGGTTTTAGTCAGAACGCCAGCAGCAGCGTTCTGGATTAGCTGCAGCTGGAGGATTGATTTTTTTTAGGCAGATTACTGTTGCAATAATCAATGTGACTAAAGATGAACACATGGATGAGTTTCTCTTGCTGAGACATTAGTCCTCTAATCCTGGAATAAAAATTACTTAAGACTCACCTATGTCCCAGGTTTCACTGGTTTCTATTTCCTTGCGGCCGATCATGTACCAGATGCAGGCCATCCAGTGCGCCAGCAGGGCAAAAACAGACATCAGTAAGGTCAGCACCATGGCGCTGTACTGAGAGTAACGGTCGAGCTTCTGAAGAAGCCGAAGGAGACGCAGAAGACGGACCGTCTTCAGGAGGTGCACTAAAGAGGTCTAAACAGAGAACGGCAATTTGAAAACGTCAGTTCCTCTTGATTATACCACTTGATTGGCACGGATTAACTGTAGGTCTGCAAAAATGTGGTTGTACTCACCACTGTGATGTTGAAGGCATAGAGTAGGTCAAAGGGCAAGGCGGCCACCAAGTCCACAAAGAACCAAGTGGTGGCATAGTGAATGCAAATGGAACGAGACTCGTACACCACCTGACCTGACTGGCTCACATAGGTGGTACGAAAGTTCAGGATAATGTCTGGAATTATAAAATCACCCCAAAAACTGACAGCCATGTCATGGTGATTCTTAAAACATTAATAGAAAATCAAGATGCAGTTGTGGATGGGGTTTGGTCCAGTCAAAGAAAGAGCAACAGCTGGGATATAATGTGAATTTAAACCCTGTCGTTTAAGAAATAACCAGTCAAATATGGAAAATATTCTGTTAGCACAACCTCTGCTCCAGGTAATCCTGCAAGTTTTTTGTCTGGACTCTTGCCAAACAATTATAAAACTTTAATTTTCTTTAGGTGAAGCAGTTCTTTCAAGATTTTAATGCTTGAACCCTGTGTTATACTCAAAAACTAAAAATTACATTCATGTCAAATTGTACAGACTAAATGTACAATTAGAGAGTTGGAAAATCATTTTTCATGATAAAAATATTGGATCTTATGGTTTTCAGAACCTCTTCTTTTTAGAAATTATACAAAAAAATTTGAACTTAAACAAATCCTGAAATTCTCCAACTTTCTAATCACCGTTTTCCAGCTCTTACCAGTAATGAACAGCATTTCCACTAAGATGTCACTGACGATGGTGGAGCGGGAAGCAGGGATGGAGTCGTCGTGTGGGGAGAAGCTGACGTTGTAGGGTACGGTGACGGCCACGTAGAAGGTAGCCAGCAGGATGAGCCAGTCCCACAGCGCCTTGGATACGCTGTAGTGGAGCAGGATGAAGCGCGACTTCTGCACCGCCGCCACCTTGTACTCTGGCACTGAAGGCTTGTCCACCATTGTCTGTATGGCAGCAGGAGTACACCACTTTTAAACTGTTTGTACTGCAGCATGTAAAGGTACGGGGTTGAAAAATTAAAGATTGATAGGATGATAGGAAAACTAATTATGTTTAATTTTTTTTTTTTGGCCAGTGTTTACAGATTGTGTTCTTGCTTAAAGTTCTTATTATGTAAAAGTTCAACTCATCCTCTGCTTTCCAGTGAAGCTTCAAATGACAGCTTTTAATAATCACCGCTGCTTCTTCCTTTACGAAGCAAACTGGATTTAAATTTCCTCTGGGACAAATAACCCCAAAGAATCCATCTAGTCTGGATAAAACCCATATTTTCCCTGTCAAGCGTTCTCATTTCAGTGTAAACACTGTTGATATTACTTGACTCATTTACAGTATTGCTTTCTCAGACTGGAGCATGCCTCTCTCTGCTTGTCACCTATCTGAAGAGCAAAGAGGCGGTAGATTGGTTACTGGGAGCTCTGGCATTTAATGAAGATGTAGCTGCACCTACAGCATCTAGGAGAGCCGGCTCTAGACAGTTTGGAGCGCTGATGGGTTCAGCATTGATTCATTTAAAGATTTCTAAAATAAATCAAGCTGCATTGCAGCTTCACAGTAGCTACAGTAGCATTATTAGGCAACTGTGGCTTTTTAGTTGATTTAAAAGTGGTCACAGGGTGCTGGGCGGTCGGCTGTACAAACAGACAAGGATGCTAACCAGACTGGAAAGCAGCCGTCAATCATAATGACTGTCGGGCCTCGGTGTAACCGCGGATTAGAAGTGAACAATTTTTAAAAGCTAAAAAAAAAACTAACGTTCATCCGCGTCTAACCGCTAGTAACCATAGAAACAATGCCGCGCCGTGATGTAGCCTAGCATGTATGGAAAAACTGGTTAGCATCTCGTCTTTTGTACGTTTTTAATGCTGCTCCGGTTTAAGGGAAAACGCCATTTATGACATAGTGACATAAATCATGTGGCGTGAATTCAGGAAAAGTCTGTAATTTTTAATCCACACGTCAGGAGGAAGAAGGTATGGGTCGGTTTCCGCCGCGTATGAGCACCAACCAGGTGTGTTACGTTCACAGACAAATTAGCTTGACTCGAATGAGTAGAAGCCACGAATAAACTGTCAAAAACAACTTGGGAAAACAATTTCAACACTTCCGTCTCTCACTTCCAACGTCCATCATGGCGCCTCTAATGATTAAGTGACGTACTTGCAAAGGGTCAATAAACAAAATGTTAACTTCCGCTAAACTTTCCATATTACTGTTGGCTTACTGAAATGGTAATTTTACAAACTTAGTTTCCTGCTGTCAGTTATACAGTGCAAATGTTACATGTAAGTAATTGCTTCAGGAAAAGGGAAAATGTTATGTCTTGTTATTGCATGAAAAGGACAGCAGGGGGAGCTCTGACTATGTATAAGATAAGATGTGGTATGAAGAAGAAGAAGAAGAAGAAGAGAGTAAAGAGAGAACTGAAGATGAGCTACGTGTGATGCCTGCTTATTCCACTATTTCAACATAGCACACCACAACAGGTCAATGAACAAAATGTTAACTTACGCTTATAAAGAAAAACAGAACATGTTAGCTAACTGTTGCTTGTAGGTTCTTGTAGCAGTGCTCTCTCTGAAGACCTCCTTCAGATTTAATAATTGGTCTAACTAAAGTAAAATCCTTGAAGTGAAGTGTAGAACCACACAACTAAAGCTGTTTCTGTTGAAGTGGATAACAATGAGGCTTGTTTGGTGAAGGTAAATATCTAATACTATATTAGCTACTTGAATTTTAAGCTTAATTTGTTAATTATACAAAACGCAGACAGAACCCTTGACAAGCTGCATAAATGAATAACTTAACATCCAGATGGTCACAAGGGGGAGGGCTGCAACTATTAATGATAATCAGATGGACACTGCAGTGCCAACATTTTGCAGAAACCGACCATTTAAATGTCAACACCCTCTCCTGTGCACTGACTGCCGATTGTTGAGTAAAGCAGCAACTGAAGTGAAAACGAACAGTGATGTCAGGAGTAATCTCTGAGAGACAGCCATCCATACAGACGGTGATAAGCCCCTTAAAAGTCTGCGCTGAAACGCCATAAAATGACAGAAAAAGGACTGTGGTCAGTCAAGAGGAAACTTATTACAATTAAAGGGCTTGATCATTTCATACACGGCTGAGCTTTATCCCGCCAAGTGTCAGATGGCAGAGTTTAGTTCGGAGGAAGGGAATCATTTTTGGGGAAAGGAGAGAAAAGTCTCAAATGTACCCATGCTAAAATGGAAGGTTTTTGTGATGCAAAAAATGACATCAGAATAAATATTTTCAAACTTTAAAATGACATATGGACAAATATCTTGTGTAATCCAATAGACAAACAATCCCCGCCCGTCATGAATTATAGTAAATTTCTTAAATCTGTGTTCTTGTAGGGTCTTCTTGTTTACATCCTTATTAAATCCAAAATGTGCAGAGAAGTTGCACTGGATCAGAATTATCTCAATAAACCAGAGCTGGTTCGTATCTAGTTACATTCACTCAATTACACTTACTTGAGTAGTTTTATTATGAAGCATTTCTACTCTTACTTGAGCAAAATTTCTGGATTTTCTTATGAAAAACAAACATGTTACAACCAAAAATTCACCAAACACACTTACAGTTTTTGTTAAAGTTTTTTGTTGAAAGAAAGTGATTTGGAAAAAAATAAGTTTTTGCCTGATTTTTGTTTTTGTTATAAGAATTATTGTCATTTACATTCAAAATTCCCACTTTATATTTTGGTCCATCTGATTATGCAATTTTTATATATCAAATAATTTATAATTTGATCAGTTATTAAGAACTTGAGTAGACTTTTTACCACATACGTTTTTACTCCTACTTGAGTAATTTCTTAGACTGCTACTTTTTACTTGAGTTGAAGTAGTGCTACTTTTACTCGAGTACAATTTTTGGATACTCTACCCACATCTGCAATGTACACATGTAAAGGTCAGGAGACAGTAACAAAAAAGACTCAAGCATTTTAAATTTTGCTACAGGCCTGGGAACTTTTCAGATAATAGAGCTGACCAAGTTTAGCTGGGAGAAAGAAAAGGTGACAGCCTTGAAAGTGTGGAGAGCGAACAACAAAAATAAATAAATAAAAAGCTATCTAGACAAGAATGTCTCCACTTCTGGACACTCGAGTTGAGTAACAGCGAAACGGGGAGATGAAATCTTAACCTAGAAGCTGCTGAGGTGGTTTGGAGAAAAATTGACTGATTCTATTTCAGTAACCTCCACATCGTTCTCCCTTTCTTCTAAAATAAGAAATGCAGTGAAGAGGTGAAACGCTCCACTGTCTTCCACTGCCGGGACATGCAATAATGCATGTCAGTTATAAATCCGACCTGCTGCCTAAAGCTTTGCGATTCAGCTCCATTTCATGTGTGCTAAGGTATTTACTGAGGACAAAAATGCGATCTTTGATGAGGACAACTGCAAGGGGAACGTTTCTACAAGTCAGTCCTTTTCTCCTGGTTAACAGAAAAGCATGAAATCCCACAGAGTTCCTTGTCAGTGAGAAATGGCTCGGTTACAGCTGCTGATAACTCACAGGCTGACAGCATTCAAACAGAAACAAAAAAAAAGCACATGTCAGCACCTTGGTAAGCAGGTTTCATCGAAAGAAAAAGTGCTGAACATTTTTTGTAAAGGTTATGTGACAGAACAGGAAGGATTTCTATTTGTAAATTAGCTTCACACCTCAGCTTCTCTTTCTGTTGATCTGTTAACGGCTTTAGCACCGCTTAAGGATGCGTGAGCGTGACTATGAGTATTCCTAAATGGTTTTTTCCTCGCCTTTTGAGACTCAAGGAGCAAAAATATATATTATTTATAAGATAGTCTTGGAAGGATTGGAATGATTCAGCATTGCCAGGATATAAAAATACTCTCTGGTGCAACACAGACCAGGGGTATCAAACTCTCCATCTCTTAGATGAGTTCCCGGTCCAGCACACCTGAATCAAATTCACTGAATTACCTTCTCTGTGTGCAGTCAGGTGTGGCAGATTGATGCTAATGACCTAATTATGTGATTCAGGTGTACTAAAGCAGAGATATATTTAAAAAGTTGTAGAAGGCTGACCTTGGAGAGCTGGACTTCAACTGTCCATTGCAAACTTTGTCAATATTTCACTAATGTGAAGAAGGAAAAAAAATATAATGTTGCAATTACTGTGTTTATATGAAATAAGAAACAGTTAAAATTACATGTGAATAAGCCATCTTCTTCATCTTTTCCTCCACTTTTAACATCACAACTCGTGTGATGCAAAAAAAAAAAAGTTTCCATTGCAGTTTTGCCAAAAACACCAACCACCTCATCCCAGCGCAAAAACTATTCTTCGAGAAACATGAGATTTTTTTCAAATGTATTTTCTTCGTAATTAATTAGTTTGCACAACTTTATGGTAAAGGTAAATGTATGTACTATGGGGAGTTGCCCAGGGTGTTATGAGAAAGAGGGTCAAAAATCACCCCAAGGAAAAAAAAAAAGCCTCGTGTGAGTTTAGCCCTGAGGACGTTTTCAACTGGTTTTACAGATGTGCATTTAATAGTTATTTGTAGGCCTGTCACGGTAACAAATTTTGCTGGATGAAAATTGTTCCAGAACTTATTGCGATAAACGATAATATTGTTGTTTTGAGACCATTTCTAAGTAATATAACAGTAATGGCAAAATAATAATGCAAGAACACATTCTCAAAGATCAGCAAACTTTAAATTCTAGTGAACATTTAACACAGAATCTGGAGGATATTTTAAATATCCAAAATAAATAAATAAATAAAACAACAAATAAAATTAATTTTTAAGTCTTTGTAAACAACATTTTCCTAAAAAAAAAAGAGCTAGTTGAGACCAAAGCACCATACTGAAAACTTTTATCATCCAGTTTTTGGAAGAAAGAGAAAAAAGCAGATAAACGATAAATCAGGCCAATGGAAATTATTGAGTCCCAATGTGTGTTAGCATGCTCTGCTTCCTGCTAGCAAGACTAACACATTTTATGCACGGCTATTCTGCATTTTATAAAATTTTTAAAAAAGAATCACATTTTCTTTCTTTTTGCATTACAAAAACACAATTTGCATTGTGGCGAGAATAAGAGGGACAAATCTATATTAGCAAAATTAAGAATATTAAAGGGAAAAATGACACTGGACGTTATGACTTTTGTCCAAGTGTAGAAACTGTAAACCATGTTATCTTGGACTGTTGTAAATACTCAGCTGAAAGGAAACCAAATGGCAACTGAAGTTCCTAGCAGATGAGCAAAAGTATTTAACACAAAGTGTTTTGATTGTGATAAAAGAGAAAAAGGAAAAAAAAAATAGGTAGATGAGTTGCAGTAAATATTTGGAGGAAGAAAAGATCCAGAGGGATGAGGCAAGAAAGTTATTAGGTTAGTTTGACAGATGGAAAGCGTAGCTTAGCAGAGGAAGAGAAATGTAGCAGCAGGGGAAAATAAGCATGGCAGATAAAAGGAAAAATCAGAGATTTCCTTTACCAACAAGATCGCCTTCAGTAGCAGATACACACAACTCAATATCCTGCCAGGAGGAGCGTGATTTAAACCTAAACACACAGAGCATGCAGGCAGGGGGTGAAATAAAGGGAACCTTAATGAATCTTAAAAATAAAGATGCTGCGGGGCTAGGAGCCAAAATCAATCCAGAGAAACATCCAATTACATTCAAACATGGAGCAGAGAGAAACCAAGCGAGAGGAACAAAAAATAAACAGGTAGAGGTTTATGTTGAACTGGTTAGGAAGAAGGAAACTAGATAATGTACAGAGTTAAACTATGGGGGAATAACTGTCGATAGTAGCCTCACAGGCACGCCCACTAGAAGGAAACAAACGCACCCAGTGTAACACTTTCATTCTATTGGCTGAGCGGTTGCCAGGCGACGGTACTTTTTTGTTCCAAGCAGACAAGTTTTGAGCTTGAGGAGAAAGGTTTGAGAAAGGAGTGAATATTTGAGAGAGAGCAGAAGTTTTGTGTGAAAGCATTACAAGTTTTGAGAAGAAAGACGTGAAATCCTGCTTTCAGACTGAAAATGTGCACTCAGAAAAATCCCCCCATAACAAATGGCCTGAATAACCTGAAAAACAGCAGAAAAAAAAAGATCTGATTAAATGTTCGCAGGATGTTTTAACCAAACATTTATAAATAATTATGCAACCTGTTTTGAACAACAGCCATATATAAATATAAATTTTTCCTACTATTATATAGAAATAACCAGCAAACAGCTAAATTAGGCATAACCACTATTTTCTTTCACTTTAAAGTGACGTTTTTAATTTAAACAAGCAAAACAAGCAGTCGTTGAAAATAACAAAAGCCTTCCAGTTTCCCCCATTGTTTGATATATTTTAGTTTATAAAACCACTGTTTTCCTAAAAAATTTTTATTCAAATGTCCTGATTTTATTTGCAGTGAGCGACATGCAGTATCTTAAATACTATAATTTGACGACTTCTTTGTTATTCTGTATTTTCTGCTGCTGCTGTGTGATTTATATTTTCTTTAGGTTAAATCACCACCTGAGGTGTTTGTTGTTTCTCTGCCACCCTTCTGTTGCTCATAAAGTTGTAATTTGCATTAAATAGCTTGGAAAAATATAACTACTACCCCCGTGGAAGTTTTTAAAATATAATAAATGCTGTGGGAAAGAATAAATTGGAGAGCAAAAGTGAGATTAAGAGACAGCTGAGAGCAGGTTATGAACACATTACCCCTGGATTGCATCGCATAAAAATATATAAAGGGTGTAAGAGTGCTGGAATAAAATCTGAAAATAAAAACGTTGTGAATCTCAGAGTAAGCAGATGTTCTCTCTTCAAGGAAATGCGGGGCAAATCTCATCTTCTGGCTGTTGTGACTGTTTTTCCAAATACTGTTGAAACAGATGGTGGTTCTGCATGCATGATGCTTGGAAGTTTATTCACATTTTGTGTTAGATTGTTGGGCGTTTAACTTACAAATCAGATTCTGAGTGGATTTTACCCAGCAGACATTTGGGGTACCTCAAGGTTTGATATGAGGACCCATTCTCTTTTTAATCACAACCCAAAGAATAAAATCCTGGATACAAGCAACTAAATTAGTTTTTAGTCTTTATAATTTTATTTTAGAAAGACTTTGCTTTCCAAACAGACTTTTAACTAAATAAAGTAACGCAGATATAACACATTTTCAGTTTTCCAGCATTATGTCTGTTTTTTATGTTTTTGCTTTGAAATACTTGTTTGATTTTGTCTGTGACGTTTAAACACACCTTAATTAGACAAATATATTTAAATCCCATCTCTAACTGTGAAGGGGAGATTTAAATAAAAAACTAGACCCTTAAAGTTTAAGTATATAAACTGCTGAAAACTTTAGCTTTAAAAAACAAAAGCAAAAGAAACAAAAAGAAAAAAATTAAAAAAGGTAAACAGATAATCCATCTAAAACCTCATATTTATTTATTTATCTACTTATTTTTCATTTATCTATTAATTTTTTATTTATATAGCTTTTTATTTATCTAACTATATTTATCTATTTATTTTATTTAGATGTATTTATTTATTTACCTCCATATGTCTATTATTTATGTATTTATCTCTATGTATATTCATTATTTATGTATTTATTTATTTTATTTTTATCTATGTATCTCTACATATCAATTTATTTATTTATGTATTTATTTATTTATCTATTATTTATTTATTCTTGTTCTGTGTTTCTATGAGAGTTGCTATTTCTTTAAATTTTGTTGTTTTATTCATGCACAAAGACAAAAAAAATCAGATTTTGATTGTCAGCATCAACACCACAAAATAATCTATGTTTGAGATTAATTATATTTTTTGAATTAGCAGTGGATTAACCCAGAAGAAACTGATTCATAAATAAATGCCTACTTTGTGATATTTAATACATCTCTGGATTTAGAAATTACACTAGCACAAATAAAAAATAATCTTGATTATTCATCATTTAGTTGAATATTTCATCCGGAAATCGATCGGAGCTGAACAAACCTTGGTCTCTGCTAAAATTATAAAATGTTCTTCTTATATTTAACAGGTAAAATAATCTCCCTATAACACTTTGTTCCCATTTTATCCAATATTCAAATACTGACTACCAAAATTAGTTACATTCCTGTTTTTGTTTGGTCCAAAAGACTTTTAATTACTTTGCGCTCTTTTGTGAAGCACAGAGTATATTGGATTGTCTGAAAATGGTGCTCAGAGAGAAAAACTCTGTCTTTTGTCCTGAAAACTGCTTAAAAATGAGCACATCTTTATCACACAAGGTCTCCTTGTAGACTTCGGCTGCCGCCTGTTTTGTAAAACAGCTTCAAAAACTTCACATTTCATACGTTTCATTTTCTGTGCCTGAGGCATTTAAAGGATAAATCCGCATTGCAGGCCGGTCATTTTAGCTCAAACATTTTTAAATTCTCAGTTGGATCTAAAGTGAATGAAAATGATTTGTAATAATAATCTTCCTTTTGCAGCAGGTACTGAGAAATGTAACTAAATTTTAACTAAAATCTTAATTTGATTTCACAATTTCAATGGGAAAATATTCACAGTTGGAATCAAAACTGCAGTTTTTTATGCAAAAAGTTCTTTGCAGATGACAGTTTATGTGTTTGTGAGGTTAGATTTATTCACTGCCACAACTCCTTGGTAAAAATTTTTTTTTTTTCTTATTTTAAAAAGTCTGTGCAGATCAACAGAGTAATAAATCTGTAAGCCTGAGTAAGTAAACTCACTCCGCTCAGGTTGACGTCTCTCTTGCCTCCTCTGGAGAATCGGCTGGTCAGCTGGTACAACATGGTGCGTCCGTGTTTCCTGGCCTCGCGGAAGTGAGAGCTGCTCTTCCTCCTGTACCTGTTGTCTTCTGAAAGAGTTGGAAATAAAAATTAAATCTATGATGAGAATTACATTTTAGATTTTTCCTGCTGTTGCTCACAAATAAAGCCTTTGGGATTTGTTTGACTTTCAGTCAAATCCCTGTTAGGAAACAGTGGAAGGATTTGAAGTACAATGTGTGATAAAATAAAAGCAGGTGGTTAATTGAATTATTATTATTTTTTTATCTTACCACCCCTCTTGCTGCTGTGATGCCCCTTCCCATAGCTCTCAGTGATGTCCTTGAATGAGAAGAGGAAGAGAACCATTTCGCCCTTTTCGTTTTTTATGGGCACAATATCCAGCAGACACCAGAAGGCCACACCTAAAGCAAATCAGAAAAATTCATTTAGTGCAAGTATTTGTTTTCCCAAGTTGGCCAACAAAAGGGAACTCTTCATTAGTTAAGAATAAGGAGCTCTTAAATGTAGTACCGTATTTTTCGGACTATAAGCCGCTACTTTTTTCCTACGTTTTGAACCATGCTGTGGATTTTTCTTCAACCACCAGGGGGCTCTTTAGCAAGAAGTGAATCATTGGAAGTCAAAATTGGAAATCAAAGAAGAAAGTGCTAATTTTAATTTAGAACAAGCACATGCTAGCAGCAGGTACGACGGAGAAATTTCTTCAAACTCATATGATGCAGCTTTTAAGTTGAGGGCTATCGATCTGACAGTACAGGAGGGAAATAGTAAACTCAGCGTGAACGAAACCATGGCTCGGCTTTGGAGACGGAGGGCTGCGTCCTTAATATATCCAGCAGGTTTATTAGGACGCTGCCCTCTACTGGGTCCTTATGGAGAACTGACAGCGGCGGAGATACCAGTGGCTTATATGTACGTTTCCATTAATTTTATTTATTTTTATATTTTTTATTTATTTTTTTAATTTGTATGTGCGGCTTCTAGTTAGGTGCGCTCTATAGTCCGGAAAATGCGGTATATAATGAATTTTTGTTTCCATTTCTAAAATCAGAACATCTATGACAAAAAGGCCTCTTTATACTTACAGTAAGTTAATGATTGATTGAGTAATCTAACTCATAGCAGTACACCTGAGCTTTTTTTACTTGAATAAGTTTCTCAAAATTGGTCACAAACATTGGGTCTAATTGACTGCTGCCCCAGCATTACATGACATCAAGTTATAGCAAATGATAAAATGTCACATTTAACATCATATATTTATAATCTGGAGAGACGGAGTAAGACAGCGATTAAAAGGGTTTATTGACATGAATGAATTAAAGTTCTTTGACGCTCTGACATTGGAAGACATTGTGTTGTGAAATGCAATGAGCTTGGATGCTGATTAGGGATGTCTTCCCAACCCCTCCCCCGGGCCCGTACACTGGTGGCAGAGCTCAGCTGGAGACCGGATGCCGCCATGGATGAAGGTCCTTTAAAGCGGGAGCTTGATTGGTGATTGGGAAGACGGGGCATTGTCCGATGCTGATAGGCTGACGGCAGATGATGCGGTGATTGGATGATGTAGGTGAGGCTGAAGAGTCTTCCAGTTTGAATTTACGCCAAGGCTTCATTAGTGCAAATAAAAATTTCTTATAAATATTTTTAACTTTGCATCACAAAATATGTGATTTTGATTATAAAAAGCCACAAAAACAATCACAAAATCCTGGTGGGACAGCTATTTATTAATATTTTAATAGCTAAATGAGTTTTATCAATACATTCTGGAAGAACTGGCCCTTTAAGAGCATTCAGATTTTTTATATGGCCCAAAATGAAACTGAGTTTGGCTCCCCTGTTTTAAAGAATCAGGCACAAAGTGGCCGAATTAACAGGTTCACAGAGGGAAGGAGTTCCTAAAGATCCAAGACGTCACCAGGATCCAGTTTGGTCATTAATGTGGAGAAATGATGCTCTGCTGCAACGCAGATGTTTTATATCTCCTGTAGTGCTTCTGGTGAGTTTATGTGTAAGAAAACACTATAGATTGCTGTGTTTGTGCAAAAAATGAAGATCTGTCAGTCTGCAGCACACAGCGAGCGTCACAAACATCTGCTCTGCTGTCTTTGATCTGCTCTCCTTCTCCATTCTCCAACAAGAACGCTTTAATGGTTGGTTTAAATTATTTTAAGGACTTTTAGAAGATTAGAAGAGAAGGCACTTAGCTACAGTGGATATTTTGCAACCCATTAGCGCGCCTCACATTTTGAGGCAGCAGGTTTCTGTTGAACATGTATAATCCTGTGTGCCACTCATTGAGGCTTAACACGACTATGGTATATGCTCTCTGCTCATGCATGACACCATGTTTTCAGCTCAAGACTTCCCAAAGGATTAGCAAAATCTCAGCAGGAATGGAGTTCAGATCAAGACATAACAGAAAGCCTTTGTTCTGTAGTCAAAAAGCTTGATCAGCAGGAGGAAAACAAGTGGAAACTCTTATTTATACGAGATCTTTAATTCCCTTCAGCACTTCTTCCAGTTGCTAATAAGAATCTGATTCTCATTTTCTCCATCATCTGATTGTTTTGTGCTGATAATTATGGATATTCTCTCCAAAGGATCACTGTTAAGAGATCCTGCATTCATAATTCAAACAAACCGTTAAAACGGTCTTGTCTAAAAATAAATGTCCTCTTCATGATGCAGAGAGCAAAAATGAATCATGCCTGAACAGGGCAGTTAGAGAAACGATGATGGAGACGATACCTGTTTGAAATTTAGCTTAAAAACATTGAATTAATTTCTTTATATTTTGCTTCCAAGTTGCCATATTTTTATAAAATCTTTTCTATCATATTGATCTAAACTAAGCTGATAAACAGCTTTAGTACACTCAACGGCTACCTTGCTAGAACCGGGTTGTACCCCCTTTTGCCTTCAGAACTGCCTTAATCCTTCGTGGCAGAGATTCAACAAGGTACTGGACACATTCCTCAGAGAGTCTGGTCCATATCGACATGATAGCATCACGTAGTTGCTGCAGATTTGTTGGCTGCACATCCATGATGCGATTCTCCCGTTCCACCGCATCCTAAAGGTTTTCTATTAGATCGAGATCTGGAGACTGTGGAGGCCAGTCGAGTCCAGTGAACTCTGAGATGATTTTCTCTTTATGACATGTCGCCTTATCCTGCTGGAAGTAGCCATCAGAAGATGGGTACACTTTGGCATAAAGGGATGGATATGGTCAGCAACAATACTCAGGTAGGCTGTGGCGTTGACACGATGCTCGGTTGGTACGGATGGGCCCAAAGTGTGCCAGGAAAATCTCCCCTACACCATTGATAGAAAGCAGGATAGATCCAAGCTTTCTTCTTGTTGACGCCAAATTCTGACCCAACTATCCGAATGTCGCAGCAGAAATCGAGACTCATCAGACCAGGCAACGTTTTTCCAATATTCTATTGTCCAATTTTGGTGACTCTGTGCAAACCGTAGCCTCAGTTTCCTGTTCTTAGCTGACATGAGTGGCACCCGGTGTGGTCTTCTGCTGCTGTAGCCCAGCTGCCTCAAGGTTTGACGTATTGTGGGTTCAGAGATGCTCTTCTGCGTGCCTCGGTTGTAACGAGTGTTTATTTGAGTTACTGTTGCCGTTCATTCAGCTCAAACCAGTCTGGCCATTCTCCTCTGACCTCTGGCATCAACAAGGCGTTTGTGCCCACAGAACTGCCACTCACTGGATATTTTCTCTTTTTCAGACCATTCCCTCTAAACTCTAGAGAAGGTTCTGTGTGAAAATCCCAGTATTTGAGCAGTTTCTGAAATAGACCAACAACCATGTAGATCCCAATGAAGTCTGTCTCCATGCAGAATTTAAAAATCTGCATCTCTTTATCCTGTTTCTAAGCACTCACCGTTCTTTTTGTAGAAGTGGACTTCAGTCTGGTACTCTTCCCGTCCCTCCAGAGCCTTCTCTATCTGCTGGGCCACATGTTCGCAGGTGTCAGCGCCGTGCAGGAAGCGACAGGTGCAGTTCTTCTGCATCACCTCGGTGCGAGTGAAGCCCGTCAGCTCACAGAAGCCATCAGAGCAGTAAACGATAGGGTAGCCGCGGTGGCCCTGGGCATTACCCAACAAGAAATTACTGTCTGTGAAGGGAACATGAGAAAGTAAGGAGGAGTAAGAAGAGAAAACATTTCTTTATGTTCGACTGGTGTCAGTT